TTAAAATGATACATTAGTGAGATTTTGGCAATCAGTATAGAAACATCAGGAGGCTGCTTATAAAGCATGTTTTGGCAAAAACTGCAAATTGAAGGGAAAAAATTGTTGATTGAAGACAGAAACTGATTGCAGATTTGTAGTCAGTGGCATGAAATTATCGAAAGTCTGTTAAAAAAATATATCATGCAACAAAAAAAAATTCGCTCCCCTGTGTAATCATTGTGTTGTTCAGTAATTGAAATTCATCGTTTTCCTATAGTTTCATGATCTTGCCTCACAGATTTTCAATCTCTTTTCTAAATTTTCTGTTTGAGACTGCCTCTTTCACCCAGATTTACACATCTTTCTTTAAATCAGCGAGTGATTCTTTTTAAATTCCATACAATACCGTTATGGTATTCTAAACTTCTAAAATATTCGTTCAGCCATAAAAGTTCACAGTTTAATTTTTCTAGTTTTGCATCAAGAATTCCTTTTTCATCAAGTCTGATGCGATGAGTTTGATACAAAACTAGTTGCAGGTTTAGTGTTTAAGATGAAATTATTATCAAATTTCAGCTTTTAGGAGCAACTAAATAATTTACAAGTGCAAAGTAGGAAAAATACTTTGTTGGCAAACTTGTAGTCGATTTCATCATCAGGAATGCCATTTCTTCCAATCAACATATTATACAAATTACTGTAATACTGAAAAATAAAAATAAAATTATTTATGATGTAAAATATACAATTTAGAAAAAACAAAGCATGTAACATTGAAATTAAATCTGGATTGATCTCATTTTTTTTGTTCACATTTTCTTCTTTTCCCTTAACCCCTTCCTTCTCGCTCCCGTGAAAAGGATGGGGTGAGGTTTTGCCCTCTATTTCTCGCTCCCATGATATTGACGGGCTGGGGTGTTTAGAAGTAACGCGCCAATGAGAATAAAACTAATTCATTTCTTTTGTCCGGAAAACACTTTAGTTCTCATTTTACACACCAGATGGCAGTACCAGGATATTTTCAAGGTAATTGTAGATAGTTAATTTGTTTTAAACTAGATGTCAGCACTAATCAAATATTTAATACAAATACAAAAACCAAAAAAATAGGCACTTTTATGACCGTTTTCTTGAAAATTAACGATCGTTAAGGGGTTAAACATTAACCGCAGCCGCTAAAGGGAGTGGAAAATTATACATAGCGTACAAAGAAAAAGAAAACAAAAATCATTCTACATCATTTCGTTTCTTCGGTATAGTCACGCATGCTATATATTAACAACAGTAGATGCTTTAAGTTTTTGTCCGACGCAAGGAAAAGGCATTACACCTTATCAAATATACCAGGTGTATCTCGAAAACATCCGACAGCATCAATAGACTAACCAAAGCCTGGTTGGTAGGGCACTGGGCCCGTGTTCAAGAGGTCGTGGGTTCGATCCCAGCCGGATGAATACTCCCCATGTAGTAAATGGTGACTGATGCACGCTAAATATGTCGAGTCTCTAAATCATCCATGTTCCCATAACATATCATGCCTCTGGGGGTACTGATCCAGGAGTTTACTTGTCTTCTGGATTGGTTCAAAATTACAAGGCTACGAAGTTGAACCCGAAATTGGGTCGACTGTTCAACGACGGTTATAAAAAATTTAAATAAATAGTATTGGTTGTAAATATGTAATATGTGTGGAAATAATATAAAAATAAAATGATGTTTATTTGATGTCTTTTGTATACTACTGGATAGCGTTTGAAATCTCCGATATTATAGAGATTTTGCATAGGGTTATGGATCACCATAACTCTAATGTCAACGCTATTTGAGCTTTACAGCGCATGGGCAAAAATTCTCCTACAAAGCATCATGTCCCTAAAAGGTAGAAATAGCGATATTGTTAAGGCTGTTTTTCAAAGCCTCCCTCATAATATGAAATCATGCTTTTTTGCGAATAGATGTGTTATGTTTATCACTGCTGTAAGTTTGCACCTGTTATACATGACTGTGAGGTCGAGTTTAGCCTATCTAACGCCAGCGATGACTATGCTTATTTTGAAAATGGCGTGAAACATCAATATGGAGAAAAGTCACAGTTTTGTAAAAATGAAAAGCGTTTGTAGTTAAATTTTTCCATATTTCAAAACTTACTCCTACGCTGCATTACCTGGGCTCATAAAAAATTTAAAAACGGAGAATACGGCAGTGATTTTGATAATTTTCATCTAGATGGAAAAATGTCGCCTAACTAGCGATTTTTAAAAAAGTTTAATAACTTTTAAAATAGTTAAATCATTTGTCAGCTTTAAAGCCTAGATAATTATTCACAACAAGATTATATCTATAGTTTATAATCATCTCATCTCTTCAAGTGTAAGGCACTTAAACTATGACTTTTTAATTTTCCTTAACGACGAAAAACAGCGGATAAATGTCGGGGAAGAGCTCTTTATTATTTTTTATTGTTTCTGTATGCCTCCTTTGCCCTTTCATTATTAGCCACGACTTTTTTGAATCCCCTTATTTACAGCAAACGTAAATCTAAAATTATAATGGTTTTTTCTGTCAAATTACATCGATACAATTCTGCATTTTGAGAAAGGTATACTGTTGTAATGCCGTGAAAACAACGTAAATGCTTCCTGATAAATTTCTCGAAATCTGACTTGACAACTATTTTCTTTTCCTTGTTGATCCTATCAACGCTAAAATAGAATTTCAGGTAATAAATTAAAGAATTATTTTTGAAAAAAAAGTCCCAATATGTCAAATACCCCGGACAACGTTTATTCTACAAGATGATCAAATGTTTAACGAAATACAGCTCGAGGATAGCTGAATTGCTGAAAGTGAGAGTTTTATTTCTGTGAGTGAAATTCTTACAATCATTTTCGATTCGAAATTATTAACCTTTATTATGCTTTAACTGGAAAAAGTTTATCGAAGTTCTGTACTATTTCTCTCAGTCCAACGCTGCGAGGCCTTAATGATCCACTCATTTTAAACCAACGAATGATGCTCTATCAACAAAAGTTAAGAACATAAAAAACGTCAGGAAATCAGACAGCCTTAAGTTCGAGAGGGTGACGAGAGGGGATCCTTAATGCTAAAAAAAGCTAAGAAATTAGAGCATAAACTTCAACAGAAATTGATTTCAACTTTGTTTATTCAATAGAAAATGGAGTCTTTAAAAATATTATGGAAATCTAATAACATTGTATAAACACAACTAAAGGTTTGACTCTCATAAGGTAAATAGAAGTTTTTTTGTAACTAATTAAGTTGTTCTTACTTTTTGTCCTTCTACAGGCTCATCACAAAATTTCGCATTACTTTCTGTGCATTTAATTTCCATTGCGCTTTCTGGTGTGAGCAGTACATGATTATACTTCCCCTGCAAATGATATTGTATTATTTTCTATATTAAAAATGCTATTTTTAAGTTAAAGTAAAGGAAAACTGCAATTTTATAATTTCAGCCATAATTTTTGCTATCATTTTATTTTAGCTTACTCACCGTGTAAAGTGTTCCGTAATCACTGTCCTGAAAGTATTTCTTTTTTCAAATTCTTGCGAAAAACGATGCAAAGATTTTATACATTAAGAGACGCAAATAAGTATTGGAGAAAACAAAAACATAGTTAAAATCTAAATTATCATATTATCAATATTATTAATTGATCATAATTGTGATCAATTACAGAAAATATATTATGGATTGAAATCAATCAAATTTTTTGTCAATATAGCTGATCAGTTTATTTGTGAGATGAAATGAAAAATAATCCGCCCCTAACGAAAGAGCCGATGGGATGAAGAGTAAACGTGGAATCATTGGAAAAATTGAGATATATTGTAGGAAGTTCTTATTTTACTCTTATTCGATATTCTTATTTTATTCCAATATTAATTTATTTTGATTTTCAATGACTGAAAAATTCACGTGACACTCACAGAGTGTTCTTGGATTAAATGACTAATTTAAGTGCATTGGCAATAGATTGTCGACGCATTATCTAATAAAACTAGTCATTTGACAACAAATTTAAACGACAGGAATGTGAATGCCATGACTCAAAAAGCTTTATAATGAGAGTGAGGCAATTATAGATTTTGCAAAATGGGAAGCTTATTGACAAGAAATAAATCAATCTTCATTTCAATACATAAATTTTAAAGCTCATTTACTCAAACTTACTAACATGTCACTTTGATCATCCACTTACTGTATATGATCCACTCATCTCCATCCTTCCACTCATCTTTTCAATTATCGTCATTTATTTCATTTGTTCAAATAGACCGATTTTAGTAGTCTACTGTTATTGACCTCGATAACAATTAGCTCATTTGCTGAAATTTACTAATCTGTCACTTTGATCATCCATTCACTGTGGATGATCCACTCATCTCCATCCTTCCATTCATCTCTTCAATTATCTTCATTTATTTCACTTAATCAAGTAAACCGATTTTAGTAGTCTACTGTTATTGACCTCGATAACAATTAGCTCATTTACAGAAATTTACTAATATGTCACTTTGATCATCCACTCACTGTGGATGATCCACTCATCTCCATCCTTCTACTCATCTCTTCAATTATCGTCATTTATTTCATTTGATCAAGTAAACCGATTTTAGTAGTCTACTGTTATTGATCTCGATAACAATTAGCTCATTTATTGAAATTTACTATTATGTCACTTTGATCATCCACTCACTGTGAATGATCCACTCATCTCCATCCATCCACTCATCGCTTCAATTATCGTCATTTATTTCATTTGATCAAGTAAACCGATTTTAGTAGTCTACTGTTATTGACCTCTATAACAATTAGCTCATTTATTGAAATTTACTATTATGTCACTTTGATCATCCACTCACTGTGGATGATCCACTCATCTCCATCCATCCTCTCATCTCTTCAATTTTCGTCATTTATTTCATTTGATTAAATAGATCGATTTTAGTAGTCTACTGTTATTGTCCTCTATAACAATTAGTTCATTTAGGTAATGAATATGCTGCGCGTTCTGTCAAACACGTTTTGGGGAGCAGGCCGTATTGCTTTGCTGCGAATATACAAAGCATTAATACTGTCACGTATTGACTATGCTTGCATGGTCTATGGCACTGCGGTATCTTCTCACTTAAAACGCTTGGACACAGTGCATCATACGGCCTTACGTATATGCTGCGGTGCGTTTCGCACCAGTCCAGTAGAAAGCTTGTATGTCGTCTGCCAACAATTACCTCTGGATCTACGTCGCATGCAGCTCTCTCTGACATATTACTATCGTGTCATGTCTAGTAAATCACATCCCTTAAGGTGTGAAGTTTCTTCAACAAGCTTGGAGAGACTGTATGTAGCTAGACCTTCTCACGTCCGACCATTACATGCTCGCGTTCGTACACTCATACAAACTTTCGACATTTGTGAATTACCATCGCAATCAGTGGATCATTTTCTCATACCTCCATGGACCATCTCATCCTATCAGTTTCATTCACCGTTTATGATGTACAGTAAGTCTAATGTTACACCCAACATTTATCAGCATACCTTCATTTNTTCATTTGATACAGGTATTTTGAACTTTTTATGATTGGATCACTAAGTAACAAATTAACTTAATATTGCCTAGTATGATTACTATGATTAATAGTCACTATGATAATTAACCACTCATTGCAGATTAATGTTCGATTGTTTCTGGCAAAAAATGAAACATACAACAAAATATTGTTAACATATAATTGTTAATATTTTTTTACGAGCTGTTATGAAATATTTCTAATTACATAAAATTAATAATAATAAATAAATATTGCTTAATATGTAAAATAATGGAAAAACATCATCAAAGAATAACTCACTTTTGGTCCAGGAAATCCATCAAGTCCACGATCACCCTGCAAAGGAATAAATATTTTGTACACCTTTATGTGAGTGTGGATTGCTAAGAAAAAACTAGCTACTTTCGTATTCTCTTTCAGTATTATCCTTTTTCGTTCTCTTTCGTTTATCGTTCTCTTTCAGTATTATCAACAAAAAAATATTTAACTTCCATAACCAAATCAAAATTCTTGATGGTTTCATCAGAAAATTTTGATGGTTTATCTTGGTTTCAGTGAGATTCATAATGGTCTAACATCATTTGATGGTCACCATCATCCAACATTTTCCATTATGTGTTCATGATTTTTGATATGTCACCAAACTTTCATCAACCCATGATTCTAATCTAATACAATGATGGGTAGCCGGCCAGGTGGCCGAGTGGTTAGCGTGCCTGACTGCGAAGTCAATAGCTGCGGGTTCGAATCCCGCTCTGGTCAAGGATGTTTCCCTCACTTTCTGTGTTGTCTTCTGGTGTGTGAATGTATGAATGTAGCCCACCCTATGAAAGGGGTATTTGTGGCAGTGTGGAGTGGGTAATGTTGCTCGCTTCCGGCATCTTCTAAGGCGAAGAACGAAAGTTCAGTGCCTACCGTTATTAAATAATAATAATATGTTATAAAATTTGCTAAATGTGGTAAAATTTTTCAATTTTATCATAATATACTAAATAATGGCATAATTAGCGATTTGTTTTGTTAAATTTATTTTTAGTATGTTTCACAAAATGTGAAGTAATAAGAACTATAATTTTGAAAACCAGAATTTCCGGTGAACTATTACCATGTAAACGGAAAACTATTACCAGTATGGTGGAAAAATAATGTATTTGTTTTACTGGAATTATGGGTTTTTTTCTACCAGAAATGTCATTAACGTAGTGTATGGTAATTTTACCAGAATATATTTCTCCGTGTGGGTCTCCATTTTTAATTTGCAAATTTAATATTCGCTTTGAGTTGTGGTTAAAGAGACGTAAAGAAGAACGTTTAAAATGATATATTAGTGATATTTTGGTAATCAGTTTAGAAACATCAGGAGGCTGCTTACAAAGCTTGTTTTGGCAAAAACTGTAAATTGGAGAAAAAAATTTGTTTATTGGAGACAGAAACTGATTGCAGATTTATCAGTGGCATGAAATTATCGAAAGTCTGTTAAAAAATGTATCATGTAACAAAAAAAAATTCGTTCCCCAGTGTAATCATTGTACAGTAATTGAAATTCATCGTTTTCTTGCAGTTTCATGTTCTTGCTTCTCACATTTTCAATCTCTCTTCTAAAGTTTCCATTTTCAGTTTGAAACAGCCTCTTTCTCCCAGATTTACACATCTTTCTTTAAATCAGTGAGTGATTCTTTTTAAATCCCATACAATACCGCTATGGTATTCTAAACTTCTGAACTGTTCGTTCAGTCATAAAAGTTCACAGTTTTATTTTTCTAGTTTTGCATCAGGAATTCCTTTTTCCTCAAGTCTGATGCGATGAGTTTGATACAGAATTAGTTGCAGGTTTAGTGTTTAAGCTGAAATCATTATCAGATTCCAGCTTTTAGGAGCAACTAAATAATTTACAAGTGCAAAGTAGGAAAAATACTTTGTTGGCGAACTTGAAGTCGATTTCATCATCAGGAATGCCGTTTCTTCCAATCAACATATTATACAAATTACTGTAATACTGAAAAATAAAAATATTTATGATGTAAAATATACAATTTAGATTAAACAAAACATATAACATTAAAATGAAATCTGGATTGATCTCATTTTTTTTTCCTTTACATTTTCCTCCTTTCCCTTAAACATTAACTGCAGCCGCTAGAGGGAGTGGAAAATTATACATAGCGTACAAAGAAAAAAAATTCATTCTACATCATTTCGTTTCTTCGGTATAATCACGCATGTTACATCTTTACTACAGCAGAGGCTTTAAGATTTTGCCCGACGCATAGAAACTGGCATTACACCTTATCAAATATACCAGATGTATCTCAAACAAATTCTGCAGCAGCAGTAGACTAACCAAGGATTGGTTGGTACGGCATTGGGCCCGTGTCCAAGAGACCCGTGTCGTGCGTTTGATCCCCTCCAGATGAATACTCCCCGTGTAGAAAATGGTGGCTGATGCACGTTAAATCTGTCGAGTCTCAAAGTCCTCTATGTTCGCATAACATATCATACCTCTGGAGGTACTGATACAGGAGTTTCCTTGTCTTCTGGATTGGTTCAAAATTACATGGCTATGGTGTTGAACATTAGTAGTCGAAAACCCAAAATCGGGTCGGCTGTTCAACGACGGTTATAAAATAAGATGAAATAAATAGGATTGGTAGGTAAATATGCAATATGTGTGGCAATAAAATAAAAATAAAATGATGTTTATTTAAGGTCTTTTGTATATTACGGTTCTGGACAGCGTTTGAGATCTCCGATATTATAGAGGTTTTGCATAGGGTTATGGATCCCCTTAACTCCAATGTTAACTTATTTGAGCTTCACAGAGCATGCGCAAAAATTCTCCTACAAAGTATTATGTCCCTAAAGGGTAGAAAGTAAAAATAGCGATATTGTTAAGGCTGTTTTTTCGAAGGTTCCGTCGTAACATGAAATGATGCTTTTTTGACTGTTAGGTCAAGTTTAGCCTATCTAAAGCCAGAGTTGTCAACGCTTGTTTTGAAAATGGAGCAAAACATCAGTATAAAGAAAAGTCACAGTTTTGTGAAAATGAAAAGCGTTTTTGGACCAATTTTTTGATTTTTCAAAACTTACTCTAATGCTGCATTACTTTTGCATATAAAAATTTTCAAAAACTGATAATACCGCATAATTTGATAATTTTTATCTTGGCGAAAAAATGTCGCCAAATTGACGATTTTTAAAAGAATTTAATAATTTTTAAAGTATTTAAGTTATTTATCTGTTCTTAAGCCTAGATAATTCTTCACGGCAAGATTATATCTATAATTCAAAGTCATGGCATTGTTTCAAAAGTAAGACACTTAAACTATGTCTTTTTTATTTTCCTTGGAGACAGAGCTTCGTAAGAAAAGCAACGTTTATGTAAGGTAAATGTTGGGGTAAAGCTCTTTATTATTTTTTATTGTTTCTGTAAGCCTCCTTTGCTCTTTCATTATTAGCTAATATTTTTTGAAGCCCCTTACTTATAGCAAACGTAATTCTATAACTTTAACTGTTTTTTCTGTCAAATTTTATCGATACAATTTGGCATTTTGAAAAACGTATACTGTTTTGATTCCCGTGAAAACAACGTAAATGCTTCATGTTAAATTTCTCGACATCTGACTTGACAACTATTTTCTTTATCTTGCTTCCTATCGGAGCTGAAATAGAATTTCAGATAATAAATTAAAGATTAAGTTTTGAAAAAAACATCCCAATATATCAAATATATCAATTTAAATTTTGAATCACTTGTTTCCTGCGTTTATTTTTTCTATTGTACGGTGGCATAGCAATACAAAAGTATGCATTTTTAGAAAAACTTTATAAAGTTGGAAGTTTTGTTGTTATTTAAAAAAAATTGTGTTTGTATATAGTGTAACAACGTTTATTCTACCCCGGACAACGCTTATTCTACAAGATGATCAAATGTTTAACGAAATACAGCTCGACGATTGCTGAATTGCTGAAAGTGAGAGTTTTATTTCTGTGAGTGAAATTCTCACAATCATTTTAACGAAATTGTTGTTGCTGTTGAAAACGAAATTGTTAACCATATTGCTTTAACTGGAAAAATTTTATCTAAGTTTTGTTTATTTCTCTCGGTCCAACGCTGCGAAGTCTTAATGATCCACTCATTTTAAACCCACGAATGATGCTCTATCAGCAAAAGTTAAGAACATAAAAAATATCAGGAAATCAGACAACCGAAAATCCAAGAGGGTGACGAAAGCTAAAAAATGCTTAATGCTATAAAAAGCTAAAAAATTAGAGCATAATCGATTTCAACTTTGTTTATTCAATAGAAAATGGAGTCTTTAAAAATATTATGGTAATCTAATAACATTGCATAAACGCAACTAAAAGTTTGACTCTCATAAGGTAAATAGAAGTTTTTTTTGTAACTAATTAAGTTGTCCTTACTTTTTGTCCTTCTACAGGCTCATCACAAAATTTCGCATTACTTTCTGTGCATTTAATTTCCATTGCACTTTCTGGTGTGAGCAATACATGATTATACTTCCCCTGCAAATGATATGGCATTATTTTCCATAATAAAAATGCTGTTTTTAAGTTAAAGTAAAGGAAAACTGTGAGTTTATAATTTCAGCTATAATTTTGTTTTAGCCTACTAACCGTGTAAAGTGTTCCGTAATCACTGTCCATTTTTTTTTCGAATTCTTGTGAAAAACGGTGCAAAGATTTTACACATTAAGAGACGCGAATAAGCATTAGAGGAAACAAAAACATAGTTAAAATCCAACGCATCATAATCGTGATCAATTGCAGAAAATGTATTAGTGATTGAAATCAATCAAATTTTTTATCAATATAGCTGATTTGAAAAATTAAATCAGTTTATTTGTGAGATGAAATGAAAAAAATCCACCCTAACGGAAGAGCCGATTGGATGGAGGGTAAACGTGAAACCATTGGAAAAATTGAAATTTATTGGAGGAAGTTCTTATTTTATTCTTTTTCAATATTCTTATTTTATTCCAATATTAATTTACTTTGATTTTTAATAGCTGAAAAATTCACTTGACGTTCTCTGAGTGTTCTTGGGTTAGAAAACTAATTTACGTGTATTGGCAATAGATTGTCAACGCATAACCTAATAAAACTAGTCATTTGACAACAAATTTAAACGACAAGAATGTGAATGTCATGACTCAAAAAGCTTAATAATGAGAGTGAGGTAATTATAGATTTTGCCAAATGGGAAGCTTATAATAAGAAATAAAGCAATCTTCATTTCCTATTATCAACATATAAATTTTAAACATCATTTACTCAAATTTGTCACTTTCTTCCACTCACTGTATATGATCCACTCATCTCCATCCATCCACTCATATCTTCAATTATCGTCATTTATTTCCTTCAACCGATCAAATAAACCGATTTTAGTAGTCTAGTGTGATTGACCTCGATAACAATTAGCGCATTTACTGAAATTTACTAATATGTCACTTTGATTATCCACTCACTGTGGATGATCTACTCATCCCCTCATCTCCACTCATCTCTTCAATTATCGTCATTTATTTCATATAAACCGATTTTAGTAGTCTACTGTTATTGACCTCGATAACGATTAATAAGATTTTAATTACTTTTTCTCCAATCGAAACTTTTGTGTGTAAATATGCTGCATAGAAAATTAGCTAACCACTTCAAATATTACGCAATTTATTATTCAAATAAAATGCATGCATAAAATAAAAATTTTGGATTTACTAACAACCTCATAACCTTTATTAAAACTAGACCTTAAATTAAACGAGAAAATACTCTTATCAATTAAAACCGCCTCCAGAATAGAATATAATTTTGCCAATTTTATAAAACTTCTGTTTTTTTCAGTAATTCCCTTGTGATGGTAAAAAAAAATGGTTGCTTTAAAAATTCTTCTTTTAGCTAAGCTTGCGAAATCTAGCTTGTGAATACCATAATGAAGTAAATTCAACTTCTTTAGGAACGAACAATTTTTTATTATAACGATTATTATGTTGGTCGTCGCAGTTACGAAGAGTAATGCCAGAAGATGACTAAAATGAAAAGAAATATGAATAATTAAAAAAAATTTACTTTATTTTATTTAAAAGTTTCATTTCTTGTGTAATTTTTTACATTATCCAAAAAAATGCACCTCAGAGTGAATATTTTTTTAGTTTTACTTCATTTATGTCAAGATTTTCAAAAATATACTAAAGGCGTTTTTAATAAGGTGTTCTGTAATAACCACCCTTACTCTATATTTTTAGAATACTTCCCAACTATGAATTGGAACAGTATACACATTAAAGGTCAAGAATTAAGGGAGGAATAAACAAAAACACTCTAAAAATTTGTCGAATCCCTTGCTAGAAAATTGTGAGGAAAATATGAAAATTGGCTTGATTGCCAACTAAAATTAGGAAATATTTCTAATAATTATCTTTTAACACCTCTATGCTTTTACCTACAATAAAATAAGTGTTTTGGTATTTTCAATCCCTCCTTTCTAAATAAGAATGAAATTCATTATATTTCAAAAGTGTTTTCTTTTTTTTTTGCATAAATATTAGTTTGCGAACTTTATTTTGTATGCCATTTTGACAAGAATTTTAAAAATCTAGATAAAGGTACACCTTATTTATGCAGAATATCGAAATCACTAACTTTTTCGTTACTTTAACTCTCAGACTAAAAATTTCAATATACTATGTTTTCTTTATCTTTCGCTTCTGGCGACAGTGGCTTTTTTTAATAAATAAAAGAACATTTTTTTGTAAGCGAACCTCATTATTTCCACCTGTGTTGTATTTCAAGACGAACTGATCAGAACCAACCACAGCATTCCATCTACTCCAATAAAAATTAAATGCATGACAAGATATGGCCATGCAAGAATAACACCAGTTTTCAAACTCAGCATTCTGAAAAAAACATATTGGTACATGTTAGTTAACTCTATAATAAAAACAAAGCACTTGTATAAATATCAAAATATACTTACTTTATGAATGACTTCTACGTACTTGTGAATATCTCTTTCTACTATTATATTAATACCCATGTATAGCAGTTTCTAAATAAATAAATGAAAATAATGATTTACTTTTACTTAAATCTGGCAAAAAAAAAGTTCATTTCCTTATTTCTTTGAAAAAACTGATTCATAATAATTGCCCTTCACATGTATTTTTAGAATCCTTGTCAAAACAGCATGTATATTTAGAGTTATAACTTTATACTCAAACAAGAAAAAAAAATTATTTAACGTAAACTCAGGAAGCCGTTAGTAAAAGCGTCAAAACTTATTTGATTGCCGAAAGTAAACAGATTAAAGCTTGAAAGGTGATCGTTAGAAACACCTCCAAGTTTTATAAACCATCAAACCACTTTTAATGTTTTTCATTCCTCCCTTTCTTGAAAATAAATTCCATCAAAATTACATCCAATCAATGCATGTAATTTTTTATTACATCTTTGATTGGTATTCCAAAAACGTATATTAAGGGCAGTAATAATGGTGCATTCTTTCTAACGAGAAATTTTAATGTTTTGAGTAATTGTAAGAATGTTTTAGTTTTTGTTTTTTATTTTTTTCGTTTTAAAAATTTTAACCATCTACATGCTTAAAAGTAGGTCAATTCCTTTTGGTAAAAAAAGTAGCGCAAAAGTTTCAATAAAGCATTTATTTTGCAGGAAAAAAAATTAAAAATAGTCGCGCGCGCAACAATATCTTAATTATATAAATTTTTGATATTAAGAACAGTTCTATCAGTTGGATCTAAGAACAGTTTTTCAGCATTCTTTAAAGCTAATAATGTTATTCAAAATAACATGGAATTTGGAACAATCACCCCCAGCATTTTGCTTAAAAAGTTTTGCTACCCGGCTCTTCCTTAATCGATAGATAAAAATCTGGATTAACAATTATTAATTAGTTAAAACACTAATCATTAACTGAAAGCAATTACTATAATCTCTAGTTAAAGTTACGAGTTCCTATATCTAACGTAATTAGAGAGTTACGATATTTTATAACTGTTGTTGAACAACAGACGCAATGTTTGGGTTTACGACTACTAATGTTCCTCTCCGTAACCTTGTAACTTTGAACCCAATACAGAAGACAAGGAAACTCCTGGATCAAGTATTGGGAGAAATTTGCCTTCGTTTTGTTGAAACTAATCCGCATTTCCGTTGCATTGAGAGGAAACATACGAAAACCTCTCACGGCAACAACAAGCAAGCGGACTCTAACTCATGGTCCGTCTACCAATGAGTATATTTTACGTCAACACCGAGGTCGGTAAAAGCCTGGAGAGGAATTCGTATCGACCAGTCATCACTGGGATTCGAACCCGGTTCACCTCATTGGAAGGCGAGCGCTCTATCCCCTGAGCCACCACTCCAAAGCTACCATATTATCTAAATAATTTCGCCATATTTCTCTTTTGCAATCGCTATTTTGGACAATTTTGAACTGTTATCTTAACTCTCTAATTTCAGCGAAATATAGGGTTATTAAATACTAATTGGTTTTTAACTCGATTCACTTAATTGTATCACAAAAATCTACAATTGGGTACCTTCAGGGTGACGTCATCGTAAGTAAATTGTGACATTGGTCGATTCAGAAGCCAATCAGGTTCAATACTCATGTTTGACATTGCTTAAAGTATCCAATGGGATTCCTACAAGTGACGTAGTGTGGGCATCTCGATCCTGATTGATTGTTGAAACGCGACTTTTTTACGTTAGCAACTGTTTTTTCTGTTCTATTTCGAGTGAACCAAACCCATCAAGTATGAATTCTCTTAAGTGACTCATTCTACATTCTTTCACAAAGTTTGTTTCACAAATATTTCAATTCTTTTACTCAATATTTCTCAATTAACACAAAGACAGGCATAAAGCCATGTAGAACATAAACAAACTAATTATGTATCGAAGTTACCAGGTACACAAAGCAGAAGTATATCACGGTTACAATTAAAGACGTAAACAAATAATAAATCTAAGATATAAACAAATAAATAAAGTTACGTAAAAGGCGTAGACGAGAAAGAATTATATTCAAAAAATTCGATGTGCGATTCGCGGTTGTATTTAATTAACTTCACGTTAATTTACAATCTGACTGATGCGGAGAAGCTCTAGCACGCCATTTTGCTTATAAGCTATCAGCTATCGTTGATGCCATAGGTCACATGTGTGGGTATTTGTGATCACCTTCTTGTTCTTGAAGTGCAATCCCCCGATTAAATCTGATTGAAATCACAAGGTTAAGCATTATCCCTACACTTCCTCTTGAGTTGCAAGTGTCCAATTGACGAAAGAACTTCGAATGTCCTGAGTAATGCCCTCCGGTGGATCAATGGTTGGATTTTTATAAACTGTATTGTACTTTCCATGGTCTAAATGAGCTTTCAATATATTGAGAGGGAGGAACCCTCTCATATTAAGTTGAAGACAACTATGACAACAATAAACTTAAACATTTATTTAACAACTGAACATAACAAGCTAAAAACAGAAACATAAAGATTAAGTAAGACTGTGTGGGATAGAGACTGAGTAAAGTTCGAAGCTTCTTAAATACTGGGGCAGTTCCAAGGTTGCCGATCGTGTGTTTGTAATCCCGTTGATTCTTTTGGCGCCTACGCACCATGCCTGGCGCCACAATATAATAATTTCTACTTTATGTAGCTGAACAGATTTTTATTTTTAAACTTTCGAGTAAGAAAAAAAATATATTACTGCGGAAACCGTCCATGTATTCAAATGTTGTCTTAATATTGTAAATCTGACAATAATTGTCGAATGTAAATATTAAGATGTGAAAAATATCCATTGAAACAACACTCACCCCCATTGTTAATTTTTCTATATCATTAATAAAAAATAACAATGATTGTGTTAAAGTTATTCACATTTTTAAGACTCTCCAATGGCAGAAGCTATAAATAAAGTCGAGCTTCAAATATATCAATGTAATCATGATTTAATTGACCATTTACCTTTAATAAATCTTCGGGTTCCATCCACATCAGATAAGAATCAGAAAATAGAGATTTCCCATCTTGTTCAATGTTTTCAATCGCACAACCATCTTTATTTATTTGAATTTTGAGAGAAACGTGCATTCCACTGATTATTAGGGATGCTGAATTTGGATTCTTTCCGTGTACCAGCTCCCATGACTAAAAATCCAATCAAATACAATCATTATCAGTAACATGATAATTAAGAAGAAATATCAATACTAAAATTTTTTAAAAATACAGATAAATATGGAACGTAGTCAATGGTTGGTTGGTTCTAATGCCACTTGCCACACGGGCAAGCCTGCTTGGTGAAACCGAGCAAATTTAAGGCAGAGTGTGCGTTTCTTGTTTTTCGGTGAGCCAAGAATTCGACCAAAATGACCTATAGCCAAGAATTCGACTTCTGCCACACCATACGTCGCGCCCGTTTATAGGACGAACCCATTCATACATCCATTCATTCATCCACAGATCGTAATTTTGACCTGAATCAGAGAACGATCGATCTCCAATCCAGTACCCCCAGAAGTATTGATTTGCTATGAGAACAGGGAGGACTTTTGTTACTCGACAGATTTAACGTGCATCAGTCACTTTACTACACGGGGAGTCCTCTACCGTCGGGGTTCGAATCCACGAACTCTCGGACATGGGCCCAGTGCCCTGCTGACCAGGCTATCCCGGCCTCACGTAGTCTATAGGGCGTCCTTTCTCCCATCTTTAAGACATCCCAAAGCCAGTATGTTAAATTTTTTTAACCGACAGTTAGTCACAAAAGTTTGGATGTCTGCAATTAAAACCACTAAAGTTAGTATATACCCTGCATTCTATCCTATTCTGCATTTTCATTACCAACCATTTCATAAGAAAATTTTTAAATAAAAATTATTAAGATATTTTAAAATAATGTTATCAAATCTGGTAGTAATTGTACCTGGTATCACAAAAGTACCAACAATTTGAAGAAGAAAAATTGCAGTTTTTTTCAATGCCCACCTGAGTAGACATCCATCAATTCAGTCGTATTAGTTCTGATCTGTCGGCGACTCTTTCAGGGGCACCATATTAGGTGGGCCAACGTTGCTGTCACAGTAAGGACAAATAGTACAGAGAATGAAATGACATCCTTGTCCGGGATTGAACCCAGAACCTTTCTGATGAAAGGCCAGTTTCCTGACCCCTGCACAGTCCAGTTGGCTACTATTCAAATATAAATGAAAGAAGATAGAAATTACCTTGCGTTCTGTTCAGGGAACCAGATTATTTATTCTTTTTAAATTTCAGAACTGGTAATAAAGTTCGTCAACAGAGGGTACTAAGCTGCTGACTGAAAATAAAAACTATAAAACAAAGTTTTCAAACCCTTTGCAACGATCATTGGCGCAGTTTGAGAATAAATTTGACTAACGTTTTCTAAAATACTTCATTTGGAATGGTCAAATCATCTGCAGCAGATATTTCGTAGTTTTACCAATTCCAATAGCGTCATTTGTTGACCAACTTTGTAAATAATTTTGGAACTGAGAAAATAAGCTAATTCTTTTCCTGAGCAGAACACAGCTTATTCTACTTACTAGCTCCACAGAAGCGATTTCTGAGAATAAGTTCTGAGATAAAATGTAAAACTAAAATTTTGCTCGGTTATCATAGCTACTTTACTTACAAACTTCAATAGTATACCATAAGAGACTGTTCATAATGATACCATACTTTTTTCTATATTTTTGTTCCCCTCTACTCTTGCTCTAGCAGTTAATTAACAAAGACCAAGATATAAATCATGTTTCCAACTTCGATGAAAAAATATAAATAATAATTATAATAATATAAATATGTTTCGTCTTTGGCTTCAAATGCTTTTAAATAATAGTAAAACCAAAGATTCTATTTTATTTCGTTATTTAAAGCAACACACTACAAACAGTAAAACTTGTAACCTACCTGATAAGGGATATTATTGTACTTTCTCTGAAGTAAACCAATAATTCCAAACTGATTAGTTTTGAATGAAACTCTTCCTGTTTCTAAAAGAAAAATTGAAAACATTATTTTGCTTATTACATTACATTATTTTGATTATTTTTTTATTTTGTTAATGGTGAAAAAAATTAAGATTTAGCTATACAAGGTGCATTAAAAACATTTTTAGAATGGTCTCATAAGATGAAAGGAACAAGAGATCAAACAAATGCTGGAATTAGTCAATAAATTTAAAAGTGTTTGTTAATGCAGTGTGAAACTATGAAATACGTTACGCTGATAGAAAATTAATAAAATAATAATTAAATAGCAATTTAGTTAATTGTTTTTTTACTATATTCAACCGTAACAGTCAAATAACCATAAATATAATTATATGCAAACTGTTAACTGTGACAAAAATCGTTTGGTGGTTATTTTCCCCTAATACGGTTAAACAACCAGAATTTTATTGTAATTTGCTTTGCAAAATGCACTTTTATGTTCATTAACGAACGACAGCCTTGACGAATTAACATCTAAGCCTTTCAAAAAACTAAAATAAAACAAAAAACCAATATATAACAAATAATTATAAAGAACTTTATAAATTTAATCAAAAATAATAGAAGAAAACGCTAAACTAAATAAACACAAAACTAATAATAAAAAAATAACACAAAAATAATACTTTAAAAATAATTACACTCAGAAAAGTATTCCATTCCTTCAAGCTATAAATGTAATCACCGTTCTTGATATAATCGTGTGGGAGTAAACAAAAATATGACAGAGGCACTACATTATAAACATAGAATGTCAACTATACAAAGCTAGCGTATCAAATTAACTTTGCCATTAAGTGTTTTTCGAGGGTGCTGGGGCCCATTGGGCCAAGAGAAACTTGTAGAAAAGAGCCGTGATGACGTTAGAGTGGATTGACATGTATGACATTTTATAGTTCAAATAATCAAACTATCAAAGAGAATTTCATACATTTAATTGAAAATGAGTGAAAACCGTAAACTCATTGTACAATTAGAAGTCAAACTTTCTGCTTCAGAACAGCGATGTAAAGCAGAAGGTTCCCTATCATAGGAAATATTCTTCTATAAAAATTATTAAAAATTTGTGTATAATCACTTTTTGTCCATTTCTAGGTAAATTCTAGGGGTTTTTTTTATTATTATTATTATTATTTCCTATGAGCTGCACAATCGGTCTTGCCGGTGGGCAGACCTAGTGCGTTCTCCAGAGGTGATATCCACTCTTTCAGGACCACCACAATGGGTGATATACCATTGGTCATGTTAATTTGGACGTCTAGTTTCTGCCACACTAGATGGCAGCACCGAGACTCTATTTGGATACTAAAGTGCACTAGGAATTTAATTTTGCCGGAAATGCCAAGAATCAATAATGCACTCCAGGGATCTTTTACATGACGCATAATCATACAACATGGTCGCTGAGGATTTATGCATCCCGAAAATCCGGTGTCTGGGCCGAGGATCGAACCCGCAAACTTGGGCTCAGAATGACGACGACAAACCAACTGCGCCACCCAACCACACACACACACATATCTGTGTGTGTGTGTGTGTGTGTGTGTGTGTGTGTGTGTGTGTGTGTGTGTGTGTGTGTGTGTGTGTNATATATATATATATTCATTTTAAATGCGTTGTAAAAATAAAATGTATGTTTTCCCTCATCGTTTACAGACGTTTCTTCAATGAACGTTTAAAAAATTCAAATAAATTCAAAAATTTGCGAAAAAATTTTGCAAACCTTCCTCGTATTTGGTCTCAAAGAACCCTATTGTTGAGAATCCTCTTTTGCTTGGTATCCAATATGCAGGAGTTGGTTGTTCCAAAAACAACACTTCCTTGGGTAACCTACAAATACATGAATTACTATATCAATGATAATTTCATCTGGACAATCAAATATTTTTTTAATGGCGGGCACTTGGGATGTATTGTCCCATCGGCCAGGAGTGCCAGAACTGCTACTCTCTTCTGGTTACCCAGTGGGCACCTGTGGCGAAGCCACGGCGGTGGAGCAGCTTCGCCCTCGTCACACCACCACAAACCCGTTTATAGGGCTGGTTACATTCACACAATCACACACAATGGAGAAAAGACATAGAACACAGAGAGAAGGAAACATCCATGCCTTGAGCGGGATTCGAACCAGCAACCATCGGCTCCGCAGTCAGGCACGCTAACCCTTCGGCCACCTGGTCGGCGGACAAAGAAGAAGAATAAATAATATAAAAAGAAGCCTTTAGTGCATGAAGTATGGATTATAAAAATTCAGACAAAAGTATTTCGTAATGATCATCATTAATATATCTTCTTAAAATCTTAATTAAAATCCAGCTAATCACTTTTCAGAACGATGAGACGGAAGAAATCAAAACTTGTTTGACTGCCTGATGAAACGTGAGGGTGTTTCTAGCTATTACTGATCAAATATTCTCTGCTTCGGGCAGACAAGCGGGTTTTGAAATTTCAGATAATGATTCGTTAGATTGCGATAGTGTTTTTGTTTTTTCCCATGCTGAAAAATTACCTTGCAGTTCCTAATATGTATGCTTTTTTGATTTTTTTTTAAATAAGGACCCTTGAAGTATATTCTTAAAATATATATTAAAGGTAATGATAGCGACACACTATCTTTCTGTATATTCGTAATAGTAGTGATAGCAGTAGTAAAACTTTATTTACGTCGCCCTAGAATTGCAAAAGGGGCTATTTAGGGGGTCAGGGAGCACTTTACGATAGAGCACTTAACGGTAGTCGAGCAGTTTAAAGTAGAACCGTGTAATGAAGGCCGATACCATGTGCCTTCTGTAGCTTCGCAGGTTGATCAAAGTGGTCATTAATCCGCTTACTGACTGCTGATAGTGATGCTTGACCTTGATGTTTTACTGGAAACCTTATTCTTGCGATTGATTCGCTGTCGGACAGTGTATAGGCGTAAATTGCAAATAAGAAAGATTCAATAAAAGGCGAGGGTTGAAGTATTTTATTGGTACCAGCTTCTCTAAGAAGTAAAAGCAGCCTGTGCGCAGTGCTGACCACATTGCCACAATCCTGCCAATGATCATGAAATTGAGGAACCTTAACCACCATAAACCCTTGGCCAGCAACAGACTGCCACGGGAATGCTTTACTTACTTGATAAAGTATTTTAGCTAATTATGGATGCAAATAATTTTAGTTGTTTTAGTAAAAAAAAAGGAAGTAGACCTTTACATAAAAAGTTAAATTATCTGCTGATTTTTTTACAGTGTATAAAAGTACTGTTCTCGAATAAAGAATTAATAATCAATACAAAATATATAATAGAAGTGATATCTTACTGTAGACAAACAGATATAGCACTACACATTTCTTTATCAAAACGTTTGATTTCTGAGTCGGCGAATTCAGCTGCTATCGCTGGTGACATGTCGGGCTTAGGATGCCTAATTGGAATAATGCTTGTTTTAAAGGGAATGCGTTTCAGTACTTTTTCCTGCCCTATAAAATAAAAAACAAAATTATCAATCAATTAAATTAAGTATGAATATACAGTGTGAGGTCAAAAGTCATCAAACACTTCCCATTTTTGACCCCTTTTTTTTCAAATTTCTAATTATTCAATTAGTCACAATTTTACAGGATTCTCAATGAAGATTTATGACGCACAAATATTAAGACACACGGTGCCTAACATGCCTAAAAAACATCGTAATGATAGATTTAATTCTACCAGCTAAGGTATTTTAATAAAAACACGTACTATTGATTAATTATAAAAGAACAATAGCGTACTTAAAATGACCAACTAGGGGTATACTTATAAAACAGCATTGATAAAAACAAAGCAACCGATTAGAAATGTTTTCATGAAAAGAAAGTACAATATTCATGTATTCAAAAGGACCAGTCATGATTGTTTTAATAAAAAACTTAACTTCATTGATGAATGAAGTGGTGAAATCTTATTTAAGAGGACCAATTATGGTTATTTTCATTAATAAATAGACATTATTGATGAATTATATAGTGATGATAGCTTATTTAAAAAGGACCAATTATGAATTATAGAACGAAGATATTATGCAAAGAGGATATACTATATAAAAAGGATAGAGGAGGATTTATCACATGGGTGATTCTTGGGAAAAAATGACAATTCGGAAGAAGAAAAATTTTAATAAAAACCTACACGCCTTGTAAAATTTTTGAAATACATTTTGATTCAGAAAGTTGATTCTTTATTCCTGCAATTAGACTTGTTCTGATAGGATGGAATTCTAATCAATCTCTTAACCTAAGATATTGATTGCTGGAGGTATCTATTTTGGTAATAAATTACTAAAAAAAGTGGCCAGGAAAAATACTGATTTTTATGTGACAAACAAACTATTTACAGAAAAAAATCATTTTCAACAAAGGTTTTGGAAATAATACCCTCTGCATCTATTCTAGAAATGCTTACAACTGCTGATTAAAAAAATTAGATATATCAAAAATCTATGCGAAGTTTTGAATCTAGTTATTATTGGAAATATTATTTGTGACATACCAGGAAAATGACATTTTGGTAGTCGATTAAGTTTTTTAACTATACAAAACAGTCAACTCTAGTGCAAAATCATTTTAAAATCTTAACAGCAATGCTATTTATTATTTTTTTTAAAATACGTTCTTTTAGTAGTATACTATTAGATATTGGAGCAAGAGATTGTGAATTGTCATATTTCGTGAGAATTACCCATATAACGAGGATAGTTTATTAAAAAGGAATAATTGTTATTGTCATAATAATTTACATTATTGTTGAATTATGTAGTGATGATAGTTTATTTAAAAAGAACCAAATTATGGTTATTTTCACAAACAATTGACATTATTAATGAATTATATATCAATTATAGCTTATTGAAAAGGACTAATTATGGTTATTTTCATAAAAATTGACATATTGATGAATTATATTGGATTAGCTTATTCAAAAAGACCAATTAGGGTTATTCTTAATCAAAAAATACACTATACTGATGATATTTGAATAAAAGTGTATTTAAAACCACTAACTTTGGTAGTTTTTGCAAAAAGAACAAACATTGATACGATCAATAAATTTTAAAAAACATGATGTGTTTCAAACAATAGTTAAGAAATCATAAATGAAAAAACATTTTTCTATCACTAATTCTGTAAGAAATAATACAAATTTTCGTAATTCGAAAAATTACATTCAAGTTATTTATATTTCGAAAATATAGCTTCAATGCATCAAGTAAATAACCTCAAATTGGTGATATTATATTTAAGACTGTTATTTTCACAACAAAAAATTAATTTTTTCTCTTTCATTCTTTCTCTAGTTTTCTCTCCTTTTTTATATTCTTTTCTTTTAAAAAAAATAATAATAGAGTGATAGCTGGCAAAAGAAATACCCTCTTAGTTTAAACAGAATTTGCCTAATCCAGAAACTATCTTCCTTTTCCTTTCCTTAATTTTATTATTGAAACATTTCTTATAATTCAATAAAAAATTAATTAATTAAGCTATAAAACATACGCAAATTATGTTGTTAGAATAAATACTAATAAATAAGTATACGTACTTCGAGTTAATGATAACAGGATACTAGTAGATATATTATTGTAAATAGATTAAGCGTCTCAGGTTCATCGATTTCTCCATTCTCCACCCTTTCCACTACCATGGTTACGGCAGATCTTTCGTAAAAAGTTAAAATGTACTTACGTCTGGAAAAAGCAAGACTTGTCTAAACTCTGGTAACGGAGAGGGTAAAAGTGTGGAGAGGGGAAAATCATGTAGCCTTGAGACGACCTTCAGCGATTTCCCACTCTCTACCCTTTACCCTTTCCGCTATCATGGTTACGGTAGATCTTTCGCTCAAAGTTAAACTATACTTACGTTTGGAAAAAGCAAGACTTGTCTAAACTATGGTAACGGAGAGGGTAAAAGTGTGGAGAGGGGGGAAATCGCGTAACCTTGAGAAGCCTACTCTGTTTATAAAGCTTACAATATAGGTAAAAATAAGAAAAATACTTACAGTTAGTAAATACCCAGCAACCGGTTTTCACAGTAGGATAGGGTAATTGAAACAAATCAAAATGAAAGAGACCTCCAACTAGAAAGTACTCGGCTTTGTCAACGACTATCAATTCGGGCTCTTCAGGAGGGGCTGAATAGAAATAATAATGAAAACTTCTATTTAACTTCTTTTAAATAAAATAGCTAAAATCTGAAAAAGATATTAAAATTTCTTTTAATGATGTTTTATTTTACTTTCAAAACACAAAAATTACGGCATATCCCGGTGTAAATGTCAATTTTTTAAATCCCAAAATTTTACGACAAACAGAGGGTTGACTTATACCTCGGTATTAAAGTCAGCTAATTCGTGAAAAATCGATGCAGTAATTTTAATGAGATAGATCCGAAAAACTCTGTATCAATTTACAGCTTTCAAATACTATTTTTATTATGTTATATGCAATTATGCATTTCTCTCATATTATTTTCTTCATAACTCTGTATAAATTTACAGCTTTCAAATACTATTTTTATCATGTTATATGCAATTATGCATTTCTCTCATAATATTTTCTTCATAACTCTGTATCAATTTACAGCTTTCAAATACTATTTTTATTATGTTATATGCAATTATGCATTTCTCTCATAATATTTTCTACATATATTTAGGATTTGTTTTAGAAACAATACTTTAAATTACATTCAGGATATAAAAAAAGAAGGATAAGAAATGTTAAGATAGTTTATTCTAGAGTATTTCAAAAAATATAACACAATGGAAAGTTTTAAGACATACCATAAAGCTACAAATTTAAAGATTCCAAAACAATTTTTTTGTCGGATTCATTAATGTTTGTAGCATTGTGTTATGGATCCCACTTTACAAAGGATTCCACTTTAACCATATCTGCTGAGTTCCACACAAACTCGTCTTCACCCACATTCAAATAATTCAAAATTCCAAATTTTTGAAAATATTTTACAATAACATTTGAATCCAGATAGGCGTCTAGTTTCATTTCACGCATAAGGACTGTGTGAATAATAATCGATTTACCGACAGCGGTCGACTTATACTTCCAACCATGGCATGGCGTACTACTATTTGTCAAATAGTAGTTTGTGTACTATTTATCAAATAATAATACGCCACGCCCCCAACATACAAGAAAATTCTTATGTCGTATACAAATCTCGTATTCGAAAAGGTCGACTTATACACTGTGATATAGTGCACTAAAATAATCAAAAGAAACATAATTGTTTCACTTTTTGAGCATATTCACAACCCAATCACCTATCATGATTTAAAAACATAAAACATATGCAATAGCTACCTATTTTTTAAGTATTTTCCATAAAATTTTAATTTTATATTAATATGGTAGAAAAAAGTATGCTTTTCAATTTAGTGTTCTGTTTATAACTTTGATTTAAAGTTATTTTGAACCACTAAAGTTATTTTGAACCATGGTTTAAAGTTATTTTGAACCAATATAAATTAAACATCTATATAAATCGATGAAAATCTTATGATGGTGCGTTTCAGCTCTGACAAAATGAAAAGTAAATTATTTCGTCAACAATTGTAATTCAAATATTATTTTACTACCATTTGGTAAAGTTGTCTTCAGATGGAGTAAAAGATATATTTGAGCCTGAAATCACTTCTTAAAACCAGTTATCACAGCAAAATATTTAGAACTTTAATAAATTTACGACTTTTGCACATATGTGCTTTGAAATATCGCAAAACCACTTTGACATTTTTTAAAGGTTTGCCACTTTTTACTTTTTTGGTGTATTTAATATGGTTTAATTCAAATTATAAAGTATTCAACTACTCTGGAAATGACACTTACTGAATATCATTGCTGGTGAACTTTTCCCTGTTTCTGACTTTTTTGCTGAAGCATCCGAGGAAAATATTTGTTTGAAAATTTCAGCAAGCACTTTGGGAGAAAGCTGGGGACAAAAATTAAAATTAAGATACAATAAAAGCAGTTGAATGAATATTTGAAATAAAATATTGACGAAACCACGATGCATTAGTTTAGACTGTCACACTCCACTGCAAAATATTGAGAGAAAAATGTTTGAAATTAGGTCATATTTTTTATGAATAATGAAAAAATGATTTAAAAAAAAGGAATGATTTTTCTTGAATGATAAAAACTGTGAAAAAGAAATTAATTTTTATGTATTATAAAAACTGTGAAAAGGAAATAACATTTTATGAATGATAAAAACTATAAAAAAGAAGGGATTTTTTTATTAATAATGAAAACTGTAAAAAAGAAATGATGTTTCATGAATAATAAAAATTGTAAAACAGTAATTGTAATTGACAAAAAATAATTTTATATTGAACTGAAGCAGAACATGATTTGAAAATGTAGGAAAAATTTTGAAGTGTGTAATTTGTAATTAACAATGTAGTAATTAATGTAGTAATTAATTTGTAGTGTGTCTGAGAACATAGACGGGACCAACCATTGTGGTTATCGTGGCTCATGCAAATTTTATCAAAATCATACATTTTTAAAAAGCTAAAAAAGTTCAGAAAACTATTATTTACTTGAGAATCAGCGTATTCATCCAGCGAATCTTTTTCCGGATAAATTTCATCAATCAATTTCATGCCATAATGCACTGAAATCAGTAAATCAATTTGCTTGTACATGTTTTAGAAAATATATGAAACTGAAAATCTTAACAAAAAAAATTAATGCAAAAACATATTAAAAGTGCTCTCTTCGAAGTTATTTCGGCGAAATCAGAGTGCCTTAAACTAAAAAATAGCTTCAGTTTTAAGCTATGTATATTATCTTATGGAAAAGAATTATCTGGACTTCAAAATTGTAAAATAACTTATATATTTTTTAAAAAATTAATATTTTTACGAAATCGCCAATGTGGCAAGATTTTTTTCAATTTATGTGAAAATCAAGGAATAATTCTAATTTTTAGCATATTTTTATGAATTGAAAAATATGCTAACTAAAATAATTACTCCAAAAATATTTATCACATTTTTGGAGTAATTTCTCAAATATTTAACAATTAAATTACAAATGAATTTTTTTTGACAAAGCTCTAGAATAGAACAACATAGAAGGTACTGTTTAAAGATGTATAAAACTTAACCTAACTACCATTGCTACAACGGTTATAAATACTCCATATTCCTCACTGTTATTCGCTAAATTTCTAATGACGAAATTACAAGGCCATAAAAAGGGTCATATTTATTATTATATTATTAATATCACTTGTCACTTTACATGTTCTTTGAAGAAAAAAAAAAGAAAAACAGAACATTTTACTGTTTCTAGAAGACTACTTAGCACGTTCTTAAGCCAAAACAAATTATCGTGCTTCAAATCGATATTTAACATGTTCTTTCCTATGAACTTAGATGGTTTAGAATCTGTTAGTTTACTTTAAGGAAATTCATTTACTATTAAATCATAAATATATCATAACAACTAAATATATCAAAACTAAATTTATGTCAAAACTAAAATGTATCAAAACAACTAAAATATAAACAAGTAAAATACCTCAAAAATGCAAGTTTGCTGTACAAAATTGTAATAATAATGCGTACAAATGCTCTAATTTACATACCTTCCTCTGAATATTTTCCTAAATTCCACTTTTGCTTTAGAGCTGATTCACAAAATGCTGACGATATATTATCAAATAATGTATGGAGAATTCTAACAGCACAGTTGATCTTTAGCAATTCCGGTGGCAGTTCGAAGCTAAATCCGATTTCGGGTACGTTTATTCCTTTATGCCGAATATTTTTTGATAAATTTCCCCACAAGCACAAAGTTATCGGAGGCTCCAATCCCTCTCCAATATCATCTGCTACGTTGAATTCCATGTTGAAGGATTCGTCACTGAGGTATTGTTGAGGACTCTAAAAATTGACAACATTATGAAAGGCAGGATTAAATGTAGCAACATGTTAAGTACTTTTTGAAAACACTCTTCTCTTTGAAGTTTTAGAACAGTACAATTATGATTTACTGTTGCTATGATCTGTTATTACTCTTGCTATGTTGTTGTTATGATCTGCTATTGCGCATGAAACATTAACTCCATTCATAACCTTTCGATCAACGCCTTATTTTATTTTAATTTTACTCGGTGCCTCGATTCCTAGATTCCCCTAATTCACTGGCCAATTTAGCCTAGTTGCTGCGCTAACTTTCACGGCTTGTAGGTGTTTTATTTTTTATCGTCTTTCTTTGAATATTATATTTAATTTTGATGAAGATAAACTATTTTTAAAGAATATTATTTGTGTAACTGGTTTACGGCCACTGGCATTTTTTCTGTGGTATCCTTTCATTTAATTTTCTGATCGTTGCATCATCTGGTACTTAGAGCACGTGGATTGGACGAGGGGTATTAACCCTGATCTTTGCCCCCACGTGGGCCGAATGATGTAGCTAAAAATTACTGTAAACTTCTATCCATGATTTATCCCTATTGAAATAAAAACTGTAATCAGAAATTGCCAAAAGGATAACATTTTCTCCCTCTTCCACATCACATAAAATGTTGACCTTATCTGAAACGCCGAACTAGATTAATACTTCACGCCAATCTGAGGCCCGCTTTCCTGGTGAAAAAACACAGCAGTATAGAACATTAATTAATTCATTTAAGTCTTAT